CCACTTTCCCTGGGTCTGGGTCTGAAGAGTTGTTTCTGTGTCTTTTGCCAGTGACCCAAAGGAATGGTGAATTTGCATGTTGTGGTACTTCAAAAACCAGGTGGAGACTGGGGTTGTGGCTCAGTGGTAGGGTGCTTGCCTAGCATGTGTGAGGCTCTGGGTTTGATCCTTGGCACCACATATAAATAAATAAAGGTCTATTGACGCTAAAAAAATATTAAAACAGAAAAACAAACCAAGCCAGTGTTCTGCTGGGGCAGAGACTCCTATGGAGGAGGGGGATTCTGCTCTCTTTGTTGGGCTCTCACTATGCCTGTTGTGGGGTTTAGTCTACCTCCCTGGGAAGCAGGCCACCAATGTTTGTTGTACACTGTGGGGCTCTGAAATGTTGGGACCACCCAGATGCAGAGCTGGTCTCAAAGATGGCTGTTCAAATAGTTTTTGGGTTTCATCCTTGGTTCTCATGAGTCCAGCCCTTGAATCCTGGAGCAGAATTGTCAACATGGATTCCTGTGGGCATCCTCCCCTGGGTGTACCTCCTGTCCATAGGATGAGGAGCCAGTTCAGACCAAGTAGCTGAGACTTTTTTCTGGCTGGATTTGCATGTTAACCAGAGATATCTGTGAGGGTCAGAGATGGCACTTTAGAAGATGTTTTTCCCCAGGGAGAGGCACAGGGGCGGCGTCGCTCCCGGCTTCCAGGTAGTGCACCTCAATGCTGTGACTGTGGACAACCGCCTGGACAACCTGCAGCTGGTGCCTCGGGGCTGGAGGCCCAAAGCTGAAGAGACCTCCAGCAAACAGAGGTGGGTTTTTCCTATTGTGCTTCCTCCAGAATCTCAGAACCAAGAGGGTCGTGTTCCCACTGTTGTCATGATGCCTGTGTGTGCTTTGGGATCAGGAATATTTTTCCCCAAAGTGTGGTTTTCCCCATTTGTCATGGGAATGGGAAGAATTTCTAGGATTATCTTTCTGGGGTGATCTTATGATAATTGGATTTAGGAATCCATTAGCTGATGTGATGAAGTAGGGCTAGCTAGCCTTGGGCCATACCTGAGGCCTCCTATGCATGTACATGGTCTGTCTGTCATGTTCTTTTGCTAAGCAGTTTTCCTTGAGTAGAGGTTTGAAGAAAGCAGGATGGTGTGGTTTGGGGGCGTGACCTCTCAGTTTCCAGCTCTCTGAAGTCCTAAACACAGTACTCTGTACAAGCTTCCATGTAGGAGGGCAGTTCTTGCTGCCCCAGGACCAGCCCATCTCTGATACTTGTGGAGCCCTTGGGAAGATCTGAGGGACCAGCAAGATGGGGTTGGGAGCTGAAATGAGCCCAGGAGTCCTCAGCTCCACATGCATCCTTGACCTGTTCACAGACTTCTGGGCTTTCTGTGTACTTCCTCAAGCTGGGGGTGGTCTTTCCCAATGTTGGCAGTGCTAACTACCCCAGCAGGACAGTTCAGTGTTTTGGGTGATGAACTGAACATTCACTTATTGCCTTCGGATCGTGCCAGAGCCCTGTGCAGTGGGAGAGAAGTGGCAGGGCCACCCTGCAGGCTGCTGATGGTGATGCTAGAGGACAGTCCCTAAGTCCTTGAGGGCCACTTCCAAACTGCTGCTCTGGCCCCGTGGTGTCCTGCAGACTGTACCTCATTCATTCTTACATGGACTTTGGCAGGTAAAGGCAGAGCCTGGGAGTCTCTGCTTTCCATGTGGCTCTTGGTTTTGTTCTGATACAGAGTTGTGATGCTTCAGTTCTTTCTTACTGCTCTTGAGTGAACCTGAACCTTTTATAAATGTTGAGTAAAGGGTTTTTATCCTTTTGGGAATTATGTTGGGTGGGACTTTAGGTTGCAAGTAAAAGAAACTGAATTCAATTTGGCTGAAGCAAAAATAGGGCACTTATTTTTCCCTGACAGAAATGTGGAGAGCCAGGGTTGATGCTCATCTTGCAGTTCTGTCCCTCAGGGCTTTTCCCAGGTGGGGGAGTGGTCTTCATCAGCAGCAGGCCTATTCATTACTGTAGAGGGAAGTCCCAGGGCCCTTTCAGGTAGCTTGCTTTTCTATCCTGGAGCTGGGGCTGAGATCAGGTCTCTCATAAAAGGAAACCAGGGTTGTATCATCAACAAAGGGTAGTAGGTGCTTGGGGGGCAAAACCAACATCTGGCGTTTCTGCTTGGTTGTCCTATTTCCCTAGTGTAGATGTGGGGTCACCTTTCCCAGCTTCATGCAGCTCCCTTTGGGGCATATACTGTATGGACCCTCCCCGTATTCAAGCAAGTCCCCGTGCACCCACCATATCACCAGCAGTGGGTCCATTCTGCTGTGGCTCCCATTACCTCAGATAGGTCCCCATGTGATGGTCTGGCCATCTTGTGGCTAAATGTTACCTGTAGGCCTCTGAATATCTTTTATGATTATCAGATACAATAACCACAATTACGAACCTCTAGGGGGGGGCTGTGGTTGTAGCTCAGCAGTAGAGCGCTCACCTAGCATGTATGAGGTGCTGAGTTCGATCTTCAGCACCATATAAAAATAAACAAATAAAATAAAGATATTAAAAAAAAAAGTCCTTTAGGAAAGGGGGCAGCCACAACCCTGAGTAGTAGAGGTTCCTGGTCAACTCGTCTAGCAACCCTTCCCCCTCTGTTCTGTGTCCATTTGGGGAGATTCCTTCTGCAGTTGTGCCCTATACCTGCAAGCACCTCCTGCTGGTAGAAGTGACTTGGGCAACTAGGACTTAGTAGGTGTCATTCTTGGCTTTCTGATACGGGTTTTGGAACTTAGCAGTGTAGAGCACTTGTACTGGGTCAGGCCCCAGGCCAGAAGCAATAGTCAGAGCCAGTCTGAGTGAGCCTCAAGTTCCAGCTGCTCCAGGTTGTATATCCTGTTTCTTGGCTTACAGCCTTCACATGGGCTGGTTCTTTATCCTACATATCCTACATAGGATTACTCTTCTCCCAGGCCTGGACTTTGTACTTTGCTGTCCTGGTTGATATGGGACAAGTTTAGCTCATCTAAAGGGGCCTCTTTGCAAACCTGATCCCCTCCTCCCCTCCTTCTGCTTCCAAAGGGCTGCTCATGAACCTCACAGAAGGGCTTAGAAAGCTGCCAGCATCCTTCCATATGTTGACCCTCCCTTTCTGAACAGGTGCCTCATGGTCTGGCTTCCATTAAGTGGGATGGTCAGAGGAGTAGGTTCAGTGGCTCCTTGGCTCCCGTGGTGTGGGCTGTACCCCTTGAATCCCAGCACAGGGCTGGAGTCCTCCACACTCAACTCTTGTTTGGGGGCTTTATACTGTAATATGTGCCCTCTTGATCTCAGTTCTTAGTAGTATTCTTGGTAGCCTCTGACTCATTCAAGTGGTGGGAGGTGGTTAGAAGGACATAGGACAGCCCAAAAAATTGAAGGGGAAATGGCTTGATAGGTCAGTAAGGGTGCCTCCAAGGGTCATAAGTAAGGTCTGAATTGTCCATATTCTGTGCCTGCTGTGTGCCCATTAGCCCAGATGTTGGGGAGGGTGACAAATAAGGCAGTGCTTATGTGTTGTTAGTGGGAGATTGTTATGCTAAATAGTTAATGTCATGTAGTGATAAGCACACGGCAGAGATGGGCAAACAGAAATCAAATTGCTGGAACAAAAACTGGTGTCCTGAAGCTGCACCATCTTCCCTGTGTGCTGCCCTGAGCCAAATATACTGAGGCCTCTACTTGCTTTTAGGGAGCAGAGCTTGTACTGGCTTGCAATCCAGCAGCTTCCCACGGACCCTATAGAAGAACAGTTCCCTGTCCTGAATGTGACCCGGTACTACAATGCCAATGGGGATGTGGTAGAAGAAGAGGAGAACTCCTGTACCTACTATGAGTGTCATTACCCTCCCTGCACAGTGATTGAGAAGCAGGTACAGTGTGTAGTAATGAGGCCTTGGTTGCTGGCCACCTCACCCGCAGTTTGGCTATGGCACGGACCCAGTAGACCCTGGGTGTTTCCCTAGCTTTCCACCAGGGTGGTTCTCCCTTTACTCTTGTGCCTAAGCAGGCCCAGGCCTTACAACTCTGATGCTTGTTTTTTCTGTTGGGTGGTTGGTTTGTGGTGCTGGGGCTGGAACCCAGAGCATTGCACATGCTAGGCAATTGCTCTGTGGTGGAGCTATATACCAGCCTGGCAAATGGGGTTTTGCCAAGTCTTTTCAGGTTCTACCCCACATTGCTTCCCAGAAATGATGGTGAAGCCACATGTTCTGTTTCAGCTCCGGGAGTTCAACATCTGTGGGCGCTGCCAGGTGGCCCGGTACTGTGGCTCCCAATGCCAGCAGAAGGACTGGCCTGCCCACAAGAAGCACTGTCGGGAGAGGAAGCGTCCCTTCCAGCACGAGCTTGAGCCGGAGCGATGACGGGCACCGGAGCTGCCATTGACGCGGGCCTGTGACTTCGGGCTCTTCCGTGGACACAGCAGAGACAGACAGGCGCTTGAACCTGGAGGTGCCGAAGAATCCAGTGGCAAGCCCAGAACAGCCACCATGAGTCTCCCCATGACACATGCTGTCTGTGGGGACAGTGCTCCTCCAGTGTTAAATGTCCAGCAGAGACAACGGGGAGGCTCCCCGGGACCTTTCTCATTATTTATATGTTAATATGTTTGTAAACTCATGTACAGTTTTTTTGGGGGGGAGGCAAGGGGAGGGTTAGAAACTACAAATAGGATCATTTGCTGTAAGCCTCAAATGGCAAATGGTCGGCCACAAGTCTAGAAACTCAATAGTGGAGCTTCTCTCCTGGGCAGTGGGGTCCCCATTGAGGGTGGCCTGCACGAAGTTGTGTCCAAAAGGACAGAGTAAAGGGTGGAATCATCTTCTGTCTCGGCTGTTCTCTGCTCCTCATTCCATCTGTTGAGGGCCAGGCGTATTTTTGAGTGGAATCAGCCAAGTGTTGTGGAATGACAGGACCTGCTGTGCTCTTTGTTGGCCTCTGAGGAGCAGAGCATATCAAGCCTCTCTGGAGTCTGGCTGGGAGTGCAGTGAGACTTGGTCAGTAGGATCAGTGGGGGTGGTCTAAGAGGCCAGCCACCATTTCAGTAGCTGTGGGATACATTAGATCGGAATTGGCCCTAGATTCTACCTTGCTTGAAGTGGGAGTTTCTTCCCAGAATGGTGCGCACAGCCTGCCTAGCATGAAGTGAATGACACTTCTCCACCCATTGGCCCCCGGGACAGCCATCCTTCTCCCTTTGGGGGCTGCAGATGTCAGGGCTGTCCAGTGTGTTATCCATTTAGAGCCCCTCTGTTACTGGGATTTTGCCTTTCTTCGGGTCTAGTCAGCTGTCTTGCCCCCAGGCTCTTCCCATCCAACTGGGCATCATGGCCCTGGGCCCTGTGTTGGTCTGTAGGCTCTGCTACAATGTCTCTAGTAGCATTTCTGCCATGTTCTAAGATGCCCTGTGTTCTCATGCTTGTTCCTGGCAGATCATAGCCCTTTGGTGGCCTTTGGCTTGTGAGAAAGCTCCTGTGTCTGCCACCCCCCCCCCTTTTTTTTAACTTTATGTGGTGCTGAGGATCAAACCCAGTGCCTCACATGTGCTAGGCAAGCGCTGTACCACTGAGCCACAATTCTATGGCTTTTTTTATTGTACCTCCTGGAGGAGGAAGGACAAAGGAAAAGGTGATATTGAGCTGGGCATGGTGGTGTACATCTGTAATCCTAGTGACTTGGGAGGCTGAGGCAGGAGGAATGTAAGTTCAAGGCCAACCTCAGCAATTTAGTGAGGCCTTAAGCTTAGTAAAATCCTGTCTGAAAATAAAAAATAAAACAAAGGTCTGGGGATGTAGTTAAGTGCCTCTGGGTTCAGTCCCCATTACAAAAAAAAAAGGTATTGCATAATTCCTGAATGGCTTTCTGGACCATGAGAACTCCCATACATCCACAGGGGTTCTGCACCACAGATTCCCAATCCCTGTCCCCGACCTTTGCTGGGTAGTAGAGATCCCTGCTCAGACTATAAGTGGAACAGTAATGGGGCCTCAGAAAGCTGTTGGGGAGGGGAGCTATGTGTGTGCTGAGAGAGTGAACAGCAGCTGGCTGGAATCCTTGAGTGTCCCAATGCTGGAGTAACCTTGCTTCCAATGTGTTGCCAGGACTGTTTGGGTGGAGGGATCCTGTATGGCTTGGCATGTTGTGTCTTGGGTGTTCTTCAGGCATGGGGCTTTGCATTCCCCCAGGCAATCTGCTGTCAAAGGCTCAGAGAAGACAGTTGGCAAGCCTTGGTCAGCTTGTGTCCTTAGGGAAGTGGCCATGTTGGAACTTGAACCTGGCTGTGCCCTCTGACCAGCCAAGCTGCCTTGCTCTGCAGTTAGCTTTTGTATCCCCAAATTAAACTGGAAGTGCTCAGGTTCTCAAAACCAATCTGTAAGGGCTGTGCTGACAAAGGGATGTATGTAGGTTTGGGGCTTGCCTGTGAGTGCCTACCCTTCCCCTCATGCCCACTGGCACAGGTTTTGCTATGTAGGTGAGATGGGCCCATTTTCACTCCTTTGTGCTTCCCTGTGATCCTGACTTCTTTTTGAAAATTTTTTAGTTTTCAGTAGACCTTTATATTTTATTTATATGTGGTGCTAAGAATCGAATCCAGTGCCTCACGTGCTAGGCAAATGCTCTACTACTGAGCCATAACCCCAGTCCCTGATCCTGACTTCTTGGTCCTTGTAACCATGTATCTGGGCTGTTCTAGGAGAAATTCAGGTGGTTCAGGTATGGGGCTTATTCCTACCTTCTCAGTGGTATGTTGGACTGCTTGGCCTCAGAGCATTCTTTGTGGGAGGCAAAGCTGAGGGATTGTGGTTATTCAGCATGCTCTGGTGCTTTTGCCTTAACTACTATCTGGGAACTGTTCCTCAGAGTTGGACTTCTAGCCACAGGCCCCAGCCACAAGGCGGGATGCCCAGATATTATGTGAATTTGTCTCCATGTGTCTGCATGGAGCTCCCATAACGGACTACTGTGAACCAAATGGCCTAAAACAACAGGTTATTGTTTCAGGGTTCTGGAATCCAGAAGTTGAATAAGTAGCTGCCAGCACCACACTCCTTCAAGGGTGCTAGGGAAAGATGTTTCACTTGCCTCTCCCAGCACCAGTAGTCTCCTGGTCTGGTAGATGCCTAGTTCCAATGGCAGTCTTCAAATGACATCCTCCACACCCCCCGGGGGAGGGTGTCCTGGCCTGGTCTTCCTCTGCAATTGCGTGTCCACGTTTCCTTTTCCATAGACACCTGTTATACTGCATCAGGGCCCACCCTAAGGACCTCATTTTAACTTGATCTCTATTTCCAAAGGCCACATTCCGAGCCTCACGTGTCTCTGGGCAGGATGCATACAACCCAATGTCGCCGACTTGCCTTCCTGAGTCTTTGGGCTCAGGGATTTTCTTGAGCAGTTTCAGCAGCTACTCAGCCTCCCACTAAGGGTCACATTACTCCCCTTACCAAACTGCTGCCTCCCTGCGCAGTCCAGCGCCAGGCTACCCCTCCCGCCCGCCGAGGGGCGGCATCGCCGAGCCCAACGTGAGGCTCGCCCTGCACCGGGTTCTCGCCGCGGTCCGCCTGCCTACAGGGGGCGCAGCACCCCGATGGCTTCAGGCGGCCGGAAGTAGTACCCCGGAAGGAGTTGGCAGAGGCTGCGCCTGAGCGAGTGTGCTTGCGTCCTCGCCTCATGTGTCTCGCGTCTTTCGGGGCTAGATGGCGGGCCGCTGTGCGCGGGTGCTGCAGGCCGTGGACACCGAGTTCACCGCGGACAGCGTGGAGTGGTGCCCGCTGGAGGGCTGCCGACACTTGCTAGCCTGTGGCACCTACCAGCTGCGCAGGCCGGATGCCGCGTCCGGGTCCAAGGTGTGCGGGGCGGGAGGCCCGGGGACAGGGCCCCCAGGGAGCACGCGGGGCGGGAGGCGGCCACTGGCCTCCAGAAAAACCACTCAGATTCGTGAGCGGCACGGCCCAGGCACACTGTTGGAATCTGCAGTAAAGATAAGAGTACCGGCTAGGATGATGCCTGCCCGCTGGAAGGGATCTCTGAGAACGGAACTGGCTGCTGAAAAGTGAGGGCGGACCAGGTCAGGACTCCCAGCGCAGTTAACCTAGCCGTGCTGGGTCCTGTTGGCCCATATAGGAACTGTCTGTGCTGGGTGGGGAGAGTTCACCTACTTATTGATCACATGCCAGAAGAGAGACACTTGACCCACTCAGGAAATTAAGGACTCTGCTTCCAGGCAGAGGGCCGCTTTGCCAGTCTTGGTTTACCTTTCTTAGTGGATCCGGTTTCCCAAATCTTGTGTTCTTGACATCTGTTGGGGGTAATCAGAGAATGTGCATATTTTGTAGGGTGGACTGGAGGTTGAGGAGCCTCACGTCCGTTTAGGTCGTCTCTACCTGTACAGTTTCAATGAGGACAACTCTACTTCCTCTCTGGCTGAGGTCCAAAGAAGAGATACTGCTGCAATCCTGGACATGAAATGGTATGACTTTGATAGCAACCCCACCTGGTCTGGAATTGGTCCTGAGCCTCTGCTCACCTAATCATGGAGTCCCATGCTTTGGCATCTTCATCAAGTAGCTGCTTCTGTGTTGTCCCACCTGCCAATGGGCATGTGGCAGGCACTTTTCTTGGGCTCATCTCCCTGTCAGTTTCCCATTCCCAGAGTCAGAATCAGCCTAGTAAGCAATAAGAATTGTGATTTTATGAGCTGGGAAACTTTTTGTATGGGAGCAGGATTATAAGCTCTAGCTTGGTTACAAATTTGAAATTTAAATAATAAATTACTGGAAAGCACAATGTCCCCCTCTTCTGGTGTGTGTTCTGTGTTCTCATGTGTGAGTTCTCTCCAGGTGCCACATCCCAGTGGCCGGCTCAGCGCTCTTGGGCTTGGCAGATGCCAGTGGATCTATACAGTTGCTCCGCCTGGGGGGATCTGAGGTCAGTGACAGGCCAGGCTTTGTGGGGGGAGGAGACTGGAGGGGGTCGGGAGGGGGCTGTGCCTGTGCAGATGCTTTCCTAGAATGGTTCCTTTAATGCTGGACTGTGTCATCAGTGTTGTAAGAAGCCATGGGGTCACTTTTAAATTGGACAGGGGTCTGGTGAGAGGAGGTTATTATCTTAGTGGCTCAGCAGAAGGGCTGAAGTGACAGGTAGTTCACACACTGTAGATCTGAGGGTTCTGTAAGGAAAGCTGGGCAAGCATGCCTTGGGTTGATACTGGGACTAAGAATAATGGTGACTTTCCCATGTAAAAACATTTGGGAGAGTGTGTGAGCTCCACATGAGGTTTTCTAAGTGGTTTACGGTGATCCAGTGCCATGGTTTGCAAAATGATTTAATGATTGTTGTAGGAAGAGGGAGACTGTAGATGTCATGTGGAATGACACCATCAGCCCACAGCCTACACTCTCTGCTTATGGGAGGAAGGAACATACCCCCCGTGCAGGTGCTGCAGTGGGACCAGAGCAGAAGCCCAGCTGGCGTTGATTTGTGATAACTCAGGGCATTGCTTCTGACCTGCTCAGCAGGAGCCTGGTCCTAGAAATGAGGGGAAGAATGTCTGAGGAAGACTGGGCCCAGGGACTATGTTCCAGGCGGGAGCACATACACCCAAGACAGGACTGTAGTGCAGTAGCCTGCTAAGGGCTTCCTGAGGGGGCTGTTTAGATACTTGCACTCACACAGCCACACATGATGCACATTCCTACAGTCCCAGGTACATGGGAACCTGAGGTGGGAAGATTGCTTGCGTTCAGGGATTTGGGAACAGTTTGTATAACCTAGCAAGGGCCTTTCTCAAAAAAAAGAAACTCGCATAAATCTTAGACAAGAGAACTAACATTTTTAATTAATTTTGGAACTGGGAATTGAACCGAGGGGCACTTAAACACCGAGTCACATCTCCAGACCTTTTTAATTTTCATTTAGAGACAGGGTCTCACTAAGTTGCTTAGGGCCTTGCTAAGATGCAGAGGCTGGCTTTGAACTTGTGATTTTCCTGCCTCAGCCTCCTGAGTTGCTGGGATGGCAGGTGTGTGCCACTATATCTAGTGAGAAGTAGCATTTTAATGGCTGTTATGACTTCTGAAATGAAAAGCAGAGGAAAGCTCTTATTGTCCCTGCCTCTTGGGACAGAATTGCCAGGACCTTAGGAGGCCTGGGATGGTGCAGAGCATGTGTCAGGCATGGTTCTTGAGCGTGGAGACAGCAGATGTGCCTGAGCTTCCAGGTGGCTAAGAGACCATGCCCCGGGTCAAGAGTGTGGACACATCTCGAGGTGTGAGCTCCAGCATCCTCAGTCCCATCCTGTGCCTGGCTCGTAGCAGGTGTTCCAGTCTTGTGTGACTGTGTACCAGTAGCTGATGGCTGTTTCCATGGGAGGGGACAAGGGAGCATGTTTGCCTGGACAGGGGAGTTCCTTTCTTTCCAGTAGAAGAGCAGCAGCCTGTTGCAGCCAGTGTCCAGCGTCATCCTGGAGGAGCAGTGCCTGGCCTTGTCCCTGGATTGGTCCACTGGGAAATCCGGAAGGTAAGTGCCAGGAGGGCCTCAAGTCATTCCTCTGATAATTGAATTTCCTATTTTCAGGCCAGAGAGAGTTTTGAGCCTTGATTCCTGTATTTGGGAACATCACTACCAATCCTAATTAAAAAAAAAAAAAAAAAAAAAAAATCATTGCATCTTGGATAAATGGCAATAAAGTTTTCCTCAGAGAATGCAACACTGGTTTCTGTGATTACCCAATGGCAGATACCCAAGCAAGCCTTGAGGTGTGTCCATATGCCAGAGCTTTGGAGAACCTCACCTGGGACTTGGTTGTGAACCAGAAGAGGGTGGTGAGTGTGCTCATTGGGCTTCTCCATCGGTTCTACATGTCTAGGGCCAGTGACCAGCCCTTGAAAATCATCAGCAGCAACTCCAAGGGGCAGCTGCACTTCCTGAAGGTGAATGAAGCGGGGCCTGGGCTACAGCACGTGGCCTCCTGGCAGGCCCATCACTTTGAGGCCTGGATCGCTGCTTTCAATTACTGGCAGACAGAAGTGGTATATTCAGGTCAGTGTTTCTGCACAGGGTCTTGACCCACTTGCCTCTGACAGGAGACTTGGGAGGGAGGGAGGGGATGAGGCTTGGCCCAGGGCCAAAGTGCTGGGTGTGCTGGGCTCCTGAGGGCATTGTGTGGAGAGTGTCTTCTGGGACAGCAGCTGGCACTGGTGCCACTTCCTGTTCCTTAGCAGGCTTCGGGCATCACAAGTCTTGGGTGGAGCAGGTACCTGTGGAGCTGTCCTGCCTCCATGGCACTCAGTACCAAATCCTCAGTCCCGTTTCTTGCTTGATATCTGTTGACTTTGTCGTGTTGGGTTTCAGGTCTCTCCTTTCTGAGTATAGCTCACCTTCCAAAAGAAAAAGTGAGAGAAATAGGGTGAATTCTTTGTCTTTTTGAGTGATTTGTACTTTGGGATGATGATGTGGGAATGATAAATTGACAGAACTTGGCATTTGGGTAGCTTCTCCCAAGGGGTAATTTGAGGGAGGGTGGAAGAGTTGGGCTCTGAAGAACAGAACAAAGTACACAAGAAAAGACCTGCTCTGGTTTCTGAGCTCCACCTGGCTGGTGGCAGTGGCTGCAGTCCTGGTGCAGTGCAGTGCAGGGCAGTTCTTTTAGGCTGTCAGAAACTGCACAGCCTCTTCCACTATCTCTCTGGCCCAGGTCTTTACTGGTGGCCGTAGCTCTCAGCCTAGTGCTCCCAGCCTCGCTGGGCAGTCTCCCTGCACATTTGCCATGCCTCACCCTCTGCTGTGCACCTCTCAGGTGTCTCTGGGATAGCCTTCCTTTCTGCTTTGCTCCTCTTCCTCAGCACAGAAGGGTTGGTTTCATCTGGCATCTGTCTGGATCCTTTTCTCACTCTCTGTCTTTGCTTTCCTTGCCTCAATTACTGTTTTCTCAGAAGCAACCACATGTTTATTGCTTTTTATTCTGAACTCAATCCATTTTTCTTGCTGGCAGGCAAGATGTTTCTGCTACCTAGAACTGAGCTCATTACATCCGACCTCTCCTCCCTAGCATCTGTTGAGGGGGATGGTCTTTTGGTTCTGATCTGAAGCCAGGAAGCCATTACCAACTCCTGTGCTCCTCACCTCCCAAGAGTCCCAGTCCTAACTAGTTTTCTTTTTTATTTTTGGTTGCAGATGGACACAATATCTTTATTTATTTTTATGTGGTGCTGAGGGTCCAACCCAGGGCCTCACACATGCCATGCAAGCAAGTGTGCTACCACTGAGCCACAACTCCAGCTGTGATTTTATCTTTTGAGCATCCCTTGGAATTGGCCACCTTTTGCTCTTTTCCTGGCAGAACTGTGCAGGCTGTGGTCTCATCTAGCTGTCTGCAGCAGAGCACTAAGTGATGGCCTAACATCTATTCTGTTCCTTCCTAGGTCAAAATCATAAAAAACATAAAGAGCTTATCACATCTTACAAATCGCCCCCTTTGCAGTTTCCATTTCTTTTAGGATAAAATCCAAAATACTTAATCTAATCAGTTTTCCCAAGACCTTGTGTGATCTGGCTGGTGCTTACCTGTCTTCTCTATTCTGAGTGAGGTATCTGTGTTCTTCATCATCTCTCCTGAAATGTTCCATTTTCTCTCTGGGTCTCGACGTTTCATCACAGTGTTTCTTCCAGAGATTGCTTCCACTTTTCTGGCATGCTCAGCTTAAAGTCTTTGAAGAAGCCCGTGTAGGACACCCAGCCTCATCAACCAGGTCAGGCCTGGTCCTGCACTGCTGTTGTCATGGTACCCTTTGCTCATCCCACTTAGGATGATATGCTTTGTGTTCAGTTTTCCTGAGGGAGAGTCCTTATCTGTGTTATATGTATCACATCCTTGAACAGTTCTGAGACCAAAATTCTTTTTTTTTTTTTTAGTTCTCTCCATCTTGGATTAGTTCCTCTGCCTTGGGGCTTAGCTAATTCAGAGCAGGGGGTGTGGGAGAGGACAATGACCTAATATTTCAGGACTAATTCAATCATTCAACCAATATACTTTTTTGTTTATTTTTTAGTTATAGATGACACAATATTTTTATTTTTATGTGGTGCTGAGGATTAAACCCAGTGCCTCACGCATGCTAGGCGAGTGCTCTACCTCTGAGCCACAACCCCAACCCCATCATTCAACCAATATTTACTGAGCACTTAAGATGTGCAAGGCTCTGTACTGGATGATAGGGTCATTAGTGAACAAAACAGACCGAAGTCCCTGCTTTCACTGTGCTTCTGTTGAATGGGAAAGATGGAAGATACAAAGTACGATGTATAATAAATAAGGAAATTGCACAGCACATCAGAGGCAGCAGTGCTTCTGCCTCAGTGGTAGCCTGAAACCATGCAGGACAGTCACCAAGGCTTCACAGATTCTTCCCTGAGAAGCAGCCATCCCCATCACCAGGTCCTCTGCTGATGTGCTGCTTTTGTCCACACAGGGGGGGATGATGGCCTTCTCAAAGGCTGGGACACCAGGATGCCTGCTGTGTCCATCCTCACCAGCAATAGGTAATTGGCCAGGGGGCAACTCACATGCAATCCCTCCCCAACCATCACCCATGGGCCTTCCTTGCCCCCATCATCCCTTGCTCAGGGGCACTCTTTCCCTGCAGACACTCCATGGGTGTGTGTAGCATCCAGAGCAGTCCCCATCGGGAGCACATCCTGGCCACAGGAAGGTGAGTGCAAGTGAAGTCATGGGGGCCTTGCATTTCCCACCTTTCCACCTGGGTATTGTGGCGCGTGATCTGCCGACCCTCAAGCCACAGTGCAAGGTTGGGTCAGGGGCCTTTGTCCTCCAGGGATGAGTGGGGTGGGTCTCCTGGGAGGTGTTCCCTGCTGCTGCCCTCTTCCCTTGGAGAAGTGAGGCCACTGGTTGCCCGGTTCTAGCTATGATGAGCACGTGTTGCTGTGGGACACACGGAGCATGAAGCACCCGTGGGCAGACGTGCCTGTGCAGGGTGGCGTGTGGAGGCTCAAGTGGCACCCGTTCCACCACCACCTGCTCCTGGTGGCCTGCATGCACAGTGGCTTCAGGATCCTGAGTTGCCAGAAGACCACAGGTGAGTGGGGACCTGCCAGTCTCCTCCCCAGCCTCTGCATGATCCCAGACTACACCAGCTCTTACTGCCTGTGCAGGACTGCAGGTTCAGAAGAGCCTTTGCAGGTTCAGCACCTGGTTCCTCTGACCCCACCAGGACGGTGCCCAGGAGGTTTACTGTCTGACACCCTCACGTCTATATGGCCCACCTCCTCCGTTTTTCCTTCTGGTGAACAGCTTGACCCTGCTGTCCCAGTCCCATATGTGCTGATAACTCTTTTCCTTTCTCACAACACCTCTGCCTGGCCTCTTTGTTCTCGTGCCCTTCTCCTCAAGCCCCAGGGCCCCTTTCCCCTCCTCACTCAGCTGTGACCTCTCCTACCTCCCCTCCCTGCCCAAAGGCAGGGGCTTCTGCCCCAGAAGGAGCAGGCAGACCATCCTGGCCTGTGCCACTTGGCCATCGTCCCTAGGGTGCTACCCTGTGCCCCTGCCTCCTCCATTTACTCCCAGGCAGGCTCATAGCCTGCATAGCCATACTCAAGACCTGGCTCTGTAGCTTGCCCTTCTCCCCCGAAGCTCCTCTTCCTGTCTCTCCTCACTGTTTCTGTTGTGCCCTGAGGCTCAAGGTCATCTTAGTGATGGGGGCACCCACAGTGCCACTTGTCCTCCTGAGCCTGTTCTTGCCCATCTATACATTTTGGTTTGTTGAACCTTTCCTTATACTGCTCTGCAGGTACTTCCTCATTTCCCTGATTCTTTTTTTTTTTTTTTTTAATACCGGGGATTGAACTCAGGGGGCACTCAACCACTGAGCCACATCCCTAGCCCTGTTTTGTTTTTTATTTAGAAACAGTGTCTCACTGAGTTGCTTAGGGCCTCACTTTTGCCTCAGCTTCCCAAGCCCCTGGGATTATGGGAGTATGTTCTCCCTGATTCCTTTTGACCATTAAATCGTTTCAGTAGCCTGTTAAACATTTCTGTGAGGTGTCCCTGTTTTCTTACTGAAGAAAGTGTTGTGGATTTTCTTTTAATTTATGGGTCGTCCTGGGGAGTGGTCAGTGTACTTCAGCAGAGTGTGTCTGCTATTGGCCGGTGGTGTGCACCTAGATATCTATTGGATCTCACTGATTTGGGAGGTTGCTCTAGTTCTGTTTTGAAAGTGGGCCGCTGAAGTCTCCAGCTGCTGACTGTTCACTTTCTGTTCTACTCTCATTTCTGTCGATTTTTGCTTCATGTGTTTTGGGGCTTTGTTTATATGTGTTTCGATTGTGTGTGTCTCACTAGGGATTAAACTTGGTTTCGTGCTAGCAAAGCACTATACCACTGAGCCACATCCCCATCCCTAGCTCTTTTTTTTTTTTTTTTTGAGACAGGTCTCGCTGAATTGCTGGGGCTGCCTTAGCTTCCCAAGTTTCTAGGATTATAGGCGCGTGCCACCGCGTCTGGTCTGAGGCTTTGTTTTAGGTTATGTATGTTTATAATTCTCGTATCTTCCTCATATGCTGACCCTTCTATCATTACAGTGTCCTATATGTCTGGTAACTTTTTTGGTACTACGGCTTGAACCCAGAGGTGCTTTATCACTTGAGCCCAGATCTTTTTAAAACTTAATTTAATTTATTATTATTTGATATTATTTTATTTTTTGGTTCTGGGGACTGAACCAAGAGTTCCTTAACCACTGAGCCACATCTGTAGCTCTTTTTTATGTTTTTAATTTGAGACAGGGCTTCTCTAAGTTGCTGAGGCTGGTCTTGAATCTGTAATCCTCTTGCCTCAATCTCCCACTGGGATGACAGGTGTGTGCCACCACACCCAGTTTTTATTTTATTTTGAGACAGGGCCTTAGTAAGTTGCTCAGGCTTGCCTTGAATTTGTGATCCTTTTGCCTCAGCATCCCAAGCTGCTGGGATTAGAGGTTAAAGGAGGTTTTCTTTATCTTCATTTTATTATTTTTCTTTCAAGTGCATAAACACATTAGCAATGTTCTAGAAGTTAAAACTAGGGGCTGGGGATGTGGCTCAAGGGTAGCGCGCTTGCCTGGCTTGCGTGCGGCCCGGGTTCGATCCTCAGCACCACATACCAAAAAAAAAAAAAAAAAGATGTTGTGTCTGCCGAAAACTAAAAAAAAAAAAAAGAATAGAAGTTAAAACTAGACAAAAAGTATGCTCCAGAGAGTCTCTCTTCCTCTTCTTTCCCTTTTCCTATTCACTTCTTATAGGTAAGCAGTGTTATTAGTTTATGGTTATAATTGTGTCTTTTTGCAAAAATAAGCATTTTTTTCTTATTTTTCCACTCTTATAATATGGAACATAGCATTTTACGTATGCTTTTGTGTGTATTGGGGGTGGTCCTGGGATTGAACCAAGGGCCTCACACATGCTAGGGAGGTACTCTACCACTGAGCTGCACACGAGCACTTTTCGTTTTATTTGAAGATAGGATCTCACTGTTGCCCAGGCTGACCTGCTTGTGATCTTCCTGCCTGAGGCTCCTGAGTAGCTGGGATCACAGGCGTGGCCAGTGCACCCCCCTACACCACCTTTGTTCTTTACTTACTTCTTTTAAAAATGTCATCAAGCAGGGGGCTGGGGCTTTGGCTCACTGCTTATTTCTCGTGACCTGCTGGCTCTGCTCTTCTCTGTTGTTGGCATGTGTGAGGCACCACATAAAAATAAAATAAAGGTATTTTGTCCATCTATAAGTAAAAATATATAAAAGAATAAAAGATAGGTGCATTGGCAGTGTCTATCTAGTCCCAGCACTCAGGAGGCTGAAGCAGTTGCTTGAGACCAGCCTGGGGGCCCGGGGCGTGTGGCTCAGTGATAGAGGCCTGCCTTGTGTTTGAGGCCCAGGCTCCATCCCACGCAGCAGAACACACTTTAGGTCTTGGTGCCCTCCATGTGGCCCCTGGTGCACTGCACATGACCTTCCAGCTCTGAGTGGGCTCAGGTTGCTCCAGCGCCTCACAGGGCACTCATCTTCCAGTGCACCTCCTCTTGTTCAAGCTGTTTCATGGGAGAAGGGTTTTAGGGTTGCCCCCAGAGGGGGATGGCAGAGTCAGAGGTTGGATACAAGCTGGGTTTTACCAGGCACTGCCATCTTGCAGACAGCCAACTTTGGGACCTGTATCATCTGACGGTGAAAAATGTCATCTCAGTAGTTCAAATTTTCATGTCTCCAGTTGCAAGTGAAATTATACATTTTTCTTATGTTGAAGGACTGGTTTTGTAATTTTGGTCCTTGAATTATCTTTGTATGTGTTTTGTTTCCTTTTCTCTGTGGTTTCTAATCTTTTTACCTCTCAGTTTTAGAGTTTTTCTTTTTTTTCAACCTACTGGGGATTTTAGCTCTACCTGTGGAATGGGTTAGAAATTTGTCTCTGTTCTTGATTTTGCCATTGAGGTATTTTTTTTCTCCATGTAAAAGATTTTTTTTTTTTTAAACAAAATCTAATCATACTTAACAATTTTGGGAGTTTTCTTTTCTTTTTTGGGGGGGGGGGTGCCAGGGATTGAACCTAGGGGTGCTTAACCACTGAGTACATCCCAGCCCTTTTTAATTTTGAGACAAGGTGTCTCCTAAATTGCTTAGGGCCTCACTGAGTTGCTGAGGCTGGCCTCACACTTGAGGTCTTCCAGGTTCAGCATGTCCTGGATCAGGTCTCAGCCGCCATCAGGGCTCAGCCCAGTCTTTGGCTCCCTGCCGAGGGCTCTGCCTTACTTCACTGGAGGTGTGTTTCTTCCAGGTGGCATGGAGCTGGCCTTGCTGTGAGGACAGTGTGGTGCTTGTCTGCATGGGTGGCTGGCTGTGCACACTGGCAGCTAGGCTGCTCTGATACCCACTCTTCACCTCTCAAGTCGCTGCCACTTTGGGTGTCATGGCATACTCACTGCTTGTTTCTCTGTGACCTGCTGGCTCTGCTCTTCTCTGTTGTTCTCAGTGTTTAGGGGAGTTGTACTCTTGTGGTGCTGTCTTCATGCTGATGTTCTAATGAGCTCTGAATGCCTCTGGATCCTTTTCCAAACAGGCTGGCCTCGTTACACGAGTTGGTCCTCCTTCCTGCCACCCACAAAACAGCACTGAGTTTATTCTGCCTCCCACTGCTCTTCCCATTCTTAGTGGCTTTTTTCCCCTATTCAACTTTTACATCATCATATAAAGATACATATTTTTTGCAGTGCTGGGGATCCCAGGACCTGGCACGTGTGCTCTAGTGTTTTTCCTTCTTTGCCTCACCTACTTTTTCTCCATCTCAGTTCATGGTGGAGGACTCTTAGTGCCTGCCCTGACAAGGGCTGGCAGCTTGTGGTCTTTATGGGCAGAGTTTGTTTGGGTAGCCTTTTCAGAAAGGCTTGGGGTGGTGCTCCTGGAATCCTGGAAGGCTCTTTGCTGCTTTGTGTAACCTTGATACTTGAAGAGAAGTCTGCTGGTAAGATTTTGACTCACTTTCTTTGCTTGAATCTTTTGAAAATATATATTCCTGCATTGCTTGGCTTGCTGCTTTAGGAGTCTGATGGCTGCTGTAAGTAGTTTGCTTTTTCCTGACTGGAGGGAAAAAAAGCAGTTTTTTAAAAAACTGCTTTTAATAAAAATTTTAAAAGGTATAACATAAAATATGCCACTTTAACTTTTTTTTTTCTTCCTAACAGTCCTGGGGATGGGACCTAGAGCCTCCTGTGCGTACTGGGCCAGCGCTTTCCTGCTGAACCCCCACTGCAGCCTAGCCATTTTAAATGCATGTTGCATAGCCATGGCCACTGCTCATCTTGTGACTCCCACCAGCTGCTCTCTGCTTGTCTGATTGCCTGCTGTAGGTACTTGACACAGTGGGGTCAGAAGGATCAGGTCTTTCATAAACTCTTTCACTTGGCTTCTGAACTTTTCTGGATTCATCCTTTGCAACAGGAGCCAGAACTTCCTAAAGGCTGTTCACACATTTGTCTGCTGACAGACATGTGGGTGGTTTCTACCTTGCCACTGTGTTGAGTTTTTTTTCTTAATCTTTCAAGCTGAATGATTTCACTAGGGGTCTGTCTCAGACTTCAGTATTCCAGGTTGATTTTGTCATTACGTTGTTGGCTATTCTGGGAGGTGTTTGTGGTTCACAGTTTTGAATGTTAACTGTTTCATTATTTCCTGCCTGTTGGAGCCCCCTTTTCTGGACATGAATGCTTAGTGAATTTAGATTGCAGAGCACTCTCACCACACTGGTCCCTCCCCTGCACTGTTCTTGGTGGCACTTGCCCCTAAAGGGTGTCTCTGTCCATTCCTTTACTAGCTCTCTGAAGGCACAGCTTATCTGAATCTGTAGAAGGTGATTTTGCCAGGAACTGGTGCTATGTTTGCTGGATGAGGACTGCTGGGGTGGGGGTCCTTACTGCCCAGGGGAGGTCTCTGGGACAGCCTCCTGGGAGTGTCCTCCCCAGGGTCAGCCCATATCATTGCCCAAGGGCCCTGCCACTGTGTTTGCTCTCTGGAGCCACCTCTGCCCTGTGAAGTCCCTGGGCTGTAGTGTCGTCCTGGCCTTCCTTCAGTGTTCATTATGCTTCTGGCGCACATCACTGTGCACTATAACTCCCTGTACATCAAAGGTAGTGGCAATGGCACTTTCTGAGTTGTGATTTAACATCTAAGCTGACCAGAAGTCTGAGTGATGGCTGGCAGTTTTCCCAGTGGGCACCTTAGCTCCCTTCTTCAGGTTCTTGCAGCTGCTCTTATTGGTGTAGTCTTCTCCTGGGCTGTGGACCTGTTCCCATTTGGCCACACTTCCTTCCTTTCTCTAGAGGTAATGCCTCTTCCATGCCACCATGGCTGTGCACTGTGGGAACATTGTTGGCCTCTTTCCAGCCCTGCCCCACCCTCCAAGCTGCCCTAGGATCAGCTTGGAAGGAAACCATAAATAAACTTCATATGGACCTTGCTAGGGAATGCACAGTCTGCTTGTGCCTTTGGCCACAAATTACCACCAGCATAGTGCAGCCAGGGCCCTTCACTTGCAGTTCCTTGCACATGCCGTGGCCTTTCTGGCCTCTGTACCCAGCACACAGTCCCCTTTGCCTCATCTCCTCCCATCTGGTTGACTCATTTTTCCTTTAACCTTTGCTTTTCATTACCCCCCCCCCACCCCGTGTTGGGGATCCAACCCAGGGGTGTTACCACTGAGCTACACCCCCAATTCTTTTTATTTTCAGACAGGGTGTTGGCTAAGTTGCCCAGGCTGTCTTCAAACTTGGAATCCTCCTGCCTTGCTAGGATTACAGGCATATGCCACTGCACCTGGCTCCCTCCCCTTTTTCAGTTTTGAGGGTTTTGCTAGTTGCTTAGGCTAGCCTCACACTTGTGATCCTGCCTCAGCCCCCCGGGTGTGCACCACCACACCCACCTGCTTTAAGCCTTCAGTGGGGCAACCCCCTGAGCAGCTTTTGTTGGAGTCTCCAGCTAGGAGAAGGCGCCTACGCATGTGGTTCTCTAGCCCTGGCTGTTCCTCTCTGAGGTTCATCCTGATGGTTTCTCTACAGACACGCTGACTGCTCTGAAACTTCCCTTTGAGGGTAGATGGGGCTGTCAGTAGGGATGATCAGCTCCAAGTAACACTGTGGTTCCTGTTCTGTCTTGCTCCAGAGAAGCAGGAAGTGGTGGTCATGGCATCCCACACGCTGCCCAACTCACTGGTATATGGGGCCGACTGGTCCTGGCTCCTCGCCCGTTCCCTGCAGCCTATTCCCTCCTCCTCCTTTCCTCTCAGCGAAGTGGGAGCTAGACTGGCAGACTGGGCCTACGGCCTAAAGCTTGTAAATACATCACCAGCAACCTCCCTTCAAGCTATGGTAGACGACGGGGAGGGCCATGCCAGGTCCCAGCTAAAGGCTTCTCTACTGGACAGGAAGAGTGGCAGCCAGAACTATGACTACAGCTCCTACCCAGAAGGGATGAACTTGGATTCCAGCCTCCTGGCCACCTGCTCCTTTTATGACCATGTTCTTCACCTCTGGAAGTGGGAGGCCAGCTGAGCATGAGGTCGCTAAGACCCTTCCCAGCTACACCAGGAGTGACTTCAGGAGTTACAGTCCTTCCTGCTGGGCCACTGCATGATATGTCTGGCAGTGATTGGGGTTTTCCATCTCCAAAACTCAGTTTCTCTGGTAGTTTGATCTCAGCCCTTCATATGTGTTTAAGCATTTGTATTGATTAAATGAAGCTGTTTTGGGGGAAAAATTACTTTATCACATCAAAAGTAATTATATGGGCTGGGGTTGTGGCTCAGCAGCAGAGCATTTGCCTAGCACGTTCGAGGCTCTGGGTTTGATCCTCAGCATCACATAAAAAACAAATAAAAAATAAAGGTATTGTGTCCAACTACAACTAAAAAATAGTTTTTTTTTAAAAAAAAGTAATTATATTCCAGGTGTGGTGGTGCATGCCTGTAATCCCAGTAGTTTGGGAGGCTGAGGAAGGAGGATTGGGAGTTCAAAGTCAGCCTCAGCAATTTAGCGAGGCACTTAGCAACTCAGTGAGACCCTGTCTCTAAATAAAATGGTAAGAAGGGCTGAGGATATGGCTCAGTGGTTAAGCACCTCAGGTTCAATCTTCAGTTATCCAAAAAAAAAAAATAGGTCAGTACTCTAGCACTAAGTTATATTCCTGGCCTGGAAGTAATTTTGGAACATGAGAAGGCTAGGCACATGCTTATAATCCCAATGACTCAGGATCACAAATTGAAAGCCAGCCTGAGTAATTTCGTGAGACCTCATATAAAAAGGGGAAAAAAGAAAGTTGGGGGAATGGCTTAGTGGTAGAGTACCCTTGGGCTCAGTCCCTGGCACCACAGAGAGGGAACAATCCTCCAATCACATGGTAGAATGAAAGGTGAAGAGAGGAGAAGATGTGTGTACATTCTGAGCCACCTTGGTCATAAAGTGACAATGGGGGCTGAGGTTGTGGCTCAGTGGTAGAGTGCGCGCCACATGTGAGGCCCTGGGTTCAATCCTCAGCACCACATATAAGTAAATAAAATAAAGATATTGTGTCCAACTACAACTAAAGAAATTTAAAAAAAAATAAAGTGACAATAGGGTGTCACTAATCATTTCCTCTTAGTGGCAATAAACAGATCAGCTTCCATGTCCTAAACAGTCATCTCTTACTTTTTTTGGGGGGGTGGGTACCAGGGATTGAACTCAAGGGCACTGAGCCACTCCCCAGCCCTATATTGAATTTTATTTAGAGACAAGAGTCTCACCGAGTTGCATAGGACCTTGCAGTTGCTGAGGCTGGCTTTGAACTTGCTATCCTCCTGTCTCAGCCTCCCAAGCCACTGGGATTACAGGCATATGCCACCACACCCACCTTTAATATTTAGTTGTAGGTAGACACAACCCCTTTATTTTTATGTGGTGCTGAAGATCAAAACCAGTGCCTCATCTGAGCTAGGCGAGCATTCTACCACTGAGCCACAACTCTAGCCCCAGCACCTCACTTTTGCTGAGATTAGCTTTGAACTCACTGTCCTCCAGCCTCAGCCTCCCAAGCTGCTGGGATTACAAGCATGTACCACTGTGCCCAGCTGGCCTTATGTTTTGGTGGCACACCCCCATATGCCAGCAAAAACCAAAGTGGTCATGACACATTTTTCTACCTTAAAAGGAACAATCCCTGTTGGTGGCCCATTTATTGTTTTTTTTCTTTTTTTTTGGGTACCACAGACTGAACCCAAGGGCACTCTGCCATTGAGTTACATCTCTAGCGCATTTTATTTTTCATTTTGAGACAGGGTATTAGTTGCTTACAGTCTCATTAAATTGCTAAGGTGGGCCTTGAATTTAGGATTCTCCTGCCTCAAGCCTCCCAAGTCACTGGGATTACAGGTGTGAGCCACACCCAGTTGCTGCCAATTTAGAGTTTGTGTAAAGAGATTTCATGTGCCTGGTGCAGTGGCGAACGCCTGTAATCCCAACATCTTGGAAGATTGAGGCTAGAGGATTGCAAATTCAAAGCTGACCTCAGCAAAAGCGAGGCACTAAAAAAACTGAGACCCTGTCTCTAAACAAAATACAACATAGGGCTGTGGATGTGGCTCGGTGGTTGAGTTCCCCTGAGTTCGATCCCCACGCCACCCCCACCCCCACCCCCACCACCGAGTTTTAGAACATGTATGGGTCAGCTAAATCTTAAATGAAACAGATCTGAAGGCCTAACTCAGCAGACTAGTCAACAGAGCCCAGTTTGACACCAATTTGCATGTGGCTTCATCTTTAGGTTTCCCCAAGGAGGCAGTTATTTTCACCTGACCAATTGCTTGGGATCCCAAAAGGAACATGATAGGTTTAGTTTTGGGGGTGAATTCATCAGCTTTATCTGGTTCATGCAGCCTTATAAATTTTTACTGGTATGGGCTGAGTGATATGCGCAAACCTGACTTCTAAAGTTGCATGGACTCTGTTATGTAGCATACATTCCACCACCTGATGCCAACCACACACTGCACAGGGTAACACTTTTCTTTCTTTTTTTAAAGTTGTAGATAGACACAATGCTTTTTTTTTTTTTTTGACATGGTGCTAGGACCAAACCCAGTGCCTCACACATGCTAGGCAAGTGCTCTACCACTGAGCTACAGCCCCAGCCCAAGTAGCAAGCTTTTAATAGAAACGGGATGGAGAAACTGCCCCCTACTCCTCCAGGAACTCAAGATCCCAGGCTGGGTCAGAGCAGCCTCTAGTTCCAAGTTTCTAACGTGGGAAGTTCTTGGGATACAGCTGGAAGAGCTTGCCCTCCTGTGTGGGCTCAAAGCCGTACTTTTCCAGGTTGTCAGGACTGAAAGTGCCTTCTTTAAAGTCCTTTTGGACAGCAGGTGCAACTGTTTCCAGGAAGAGTGCTTTGGCAGTGAGTGGTGTGTCTGTGCCTGCAGGAGCTCGGTAGTTCACATAGGGCTTGAGCTTGAAGCCAGTCAAGTCTGGGACAACAAATTCTGGGACCTTTTCCTTTATCTGCACAAACTTCCAGCCTGAGGCACGGATGCCTGTGCCCTTGGCGCCCCGTCCCTTGTTAAAGGTGCGCGGCCCTCGTTTACTGGTCCACTTGCTCATCCTGTCTGCTCCCCGCACCAAGCCTTGAGTCACTGCGGTCAGGAAACCCATGACGTTCCCTGCAGGAAACAGCTTTGAAAGGTCAGCACCGAGGATGGCTGAGAAGACCCCGGACCCCGTGGTGGAAAACCTGGACTCAACCCCGAGGGGTAGAGGATCCAGGTCGGATCCTCCTTGAACAGCCACCCCATAAGATCCCTGTCCCCGCGGGCGCAGACGGCCCGGACCTCATACTCGGGGACTGGAGAGGAACCGGAACCAGACCCCGCGGGCGGAAAGGACGCAGCACCCCCTGGAAACGGACGGACCGACCTGAGCTGGCGGCTCTTGAGCTCGGCCTCGCGCTCCCACTCTGCCTGCGACAGTTCGGGCAACTAGCCCCCGGCCTGAGCCAAAACAAGTGCTGGGGGACCAGAGCTGCACAACCCGACTGCGATCTCGCCGTACTTCCGACCGACGGCCGACCAAGCGCCCTGCAACAAGAGCAGCTCCGATTGGCCGCTGCCGTATCCGACGCGCAGCCGTAGTTTCCCGCGGGGGCGTAGCCTAAGAGACTTGGCCAATGGGTGGAGAGACCAGAGGCGGGGCTGCGGGAGCTTGGGACCCGGGGAGTCAACAGGCGCGCCCGGAAGTGGGGGTCCAGGCCCACCCCTGTGGTGGGTAGGGCGCGCGCAGGCAGTTCGCAGCGGGCCGCCTGTGGCGCCGTGCCCGGCGCCTACAACCACCGGCGCGGCTCCGAGGTGGCCCCTGATGACCCTTCGTTTTCCTCGGGACTCTACGTTGTCCTGAACGGGCCCGAGGTGTCCTGGGCACATGTACACTACTGTTAAGGAGGGGCTGTTCCTCGGGAATCGTCGGAGGGTCGGGGAACGCGGGCCCTTCCGTCCCTCGGCGGCCGCGGCTCGGACCTGTAGCAGAAGGGCGGTCCAGTGACGGGCCGCCTGCGCCTCTCCCCTCTGACCGAGGGAGTCAGGCCCTCTTGGTCCACAGGTTCATCACTTCGGGGCCCGGAAAACCCACCCTGTTATTCCAGCTCCGCTTCCCCGTCGCCTCGCCCCTACTCTGATGGCCCCGAGGTGTCCTGGTCATTTGCTCCTCTTGATGCATCCCCCGCGCCGGATGACCCCTTCACGGACACTGCCCTTCCGGGTCACGCCCCCTCCAGGACAACTGCCTTTTCCGGCGGTTGCATCCCCGGGCCATGACCCTCCCCACCGCTGTCCTTTCCGGCCACACCCCTTCCCAGCAGTTGCTTTACCCGTCTGGTGCTCTCCCGGCCGCGCCCCTCCCCCGCTGGATCATCCTAGTTCCTCCAGCCATACCCTGTGCCCGACACATTCACCCCTCCTTGAACAGCCACCCCATAATACCCCTGTCCCCAGCCAGTGTTGAGCCTACCCCACAAGGCCTCTCCAGACCCTGGCTGTGCTGTCCAGACTCTTCCGCTGAGCGCTGGGAGTAGAGCCAGTGGCTTGGCTGCTGTTGTGAGTTCCCCTTGGGCCACGTGAGGGCTGTTTACAGGAGAAGGAAGCCGCAGTGAGACAGCAGATGCTTCTGAAAAACAGCTTCTTTTCAGGAGAACAAAGGTGCAGAGGTGTTTCCTTCCAGTGAGAATGTAATTTGATTCTGAAAGTAGTGGGGAAGGCGCTAGTAAAGTGTTTCCTCAACCTGTCTCCTCACCCTTTGCTCTGCTTACAGTCATGCGGGAAGAGGACGATGTCTGCTCAGAGGTGGGTATACCAGGTATCTGGTGAGAGTCCTTTCCTTAGAACCCCCACTCAGGAACTTCTCCATCTAGAGAAGGGTTCTCTGCCTCCCTCCTCTGCCTGGACTTCCTGAAGCCTGAGGACTGACTGGGGTCAGTTGCCTTGCCAGAGCTCACACTGGTTGCTAGATAGCCAGGCTTTCACAGTATGGACAGTTGCATGTGGCTGTTGGATGACATTTGAGACCATCTTTTCATCCCTTCAGGTCCGGTTTCGCTTGAGACTTTGCCTGCTTGCTTTGCTTAGGGTCTTTTTTCAGTCCAGCACTACAGCCATATCCCAAAGGCTTTTTTGTTCCTGAGCCAGAAAAGTAAATGCATTAAACAGCAGAAAGCTAGAGACACTCCATCATTGCAGGCAATATAAGTAGGTTAGACCTTTGCTTGGATAATCTGACTGCACCAGACTTCAGAGGGGCACACTTAGATCAGTGGAGGGAGTGGTGGGGTGCCCTTATGCTCCCCAACCAATAAGCTCCTGAGAGCTGAGTGGGGACAAAGAAGGAGAGACGCTGGGTACCTCAATCCTAAAGCAAGAGGTGCACTGTGCGCATAGTCACATGCAGCACAAGGGTGTTTCAGCCAACAGAAGGCCATGGGTACAACAGTATGCAATAGAATTGTTTTGCCTGGTGAGTTCAGTGCTCTCTTAGTTTGTATGAGCACACCCTGTGACATTCACATAATGATGAGAACACCTGCCAGTGAATTTCTCAGAGGGTGTCCTCACTCAGACTGATGACTGAACCTGCCTCCTGCACCAAGTGCACAGGGATGAGCTTTCTGCTTCTCTCACTCTGGTCTTGATGCAGAATTTTGCCTTAGAGACACTTTGCCTGGTGCCTTCCTGCCCTCCTTGGCTTTTCTGGCATGGCTGTTGTATCTGAGACCTGTTTCTCTGAACGTTGGGGCTTTGGTCCATGGCACTTGGGTAGAAACTGGAAAGGATTAGTAGATGGCCTGCCCTTCCCCATCTAGCTCCTGGCTGCTTGGGAGCAGGGTGGGTGCAGGAGAATGGAGAGTGGCTGCATGTCTGGCCCATCTTAGGCTTTGGGAGCCAGTCAGCCTTCTCTGTTAGTTGCTCACTCACCTTGTCTGAATTTCTGAAGTTCTGGTCAGTGCCCTTCTCAGACACAGCAGGGAGATGTCTCTGCTCTTTCCTCTTTGGCATGTGAACTGATATTGGATGTCCCCCAAATCCAGAGGGCTCCTCAGAGTTTAGTTTAGTTAGTTTGTTTCTTTCTTTCTCTCTCTCTCTTTCCTTCCTTCCCTCCCTCCCTCCCTCCCTTCCTTCCTTCCTTCCTTCCTTCCTTCCTTCCTTCCTTCCTTCCTTCCTTCGTCTTTTTATGCTTCCCAGGGTGATCTTGAACTCCTGGGCTCAAGTGATCTTCCTTCTTTGGCCTTCTGAGCAGCTGGAACTAAACCAAATACAGGCCTCAGCAACCACCCACCTTCTCAGGGTTTCTGTGCACAGCAGTTATTTGGCTCCCATAGGGCACCAAGAGATGATCTTGGCCTCCCCTGTGGCTGGGGCTTGCTCTCCTGTGCTTACATCTCAAGGATGAGAGCCCAGGATTCAGGTGTGTTAGTGATGTACAGGGCATTTGCTGTCAGCAACCCTTCCTGTGTGTCCCAGTGTCTGAGGAGGACAGGTTGCTCCCTATCTGCCATTGGAGGCAGGCCCAGAGGACCTCAGCAGCTCTGGCAAGGTCACTTCTCTCTGGAATCTCCAGAGGTGCTAATAACTTCCTCCCTACCTTCCAACTCTACTCTTGCTCCCTGACCAGGCCCAGGCTGGGAATCCAGGCCATTTGTCTGTTCAACCTGAGTGTTGCTTTCCTCTCCAGGCTGGCTTCTGTATAGGCACTGCCCTGCGTTCCTGGGGGCTGCAGTTCATGGAGGAGCATTCACAGTCCACCATGGTAATCACAGGCTTTCCTGGGGATGGACCTGGTTGGGCCAACTGGTGGCTGTGGTCTGCCTTGCTGATGGGTGCACTTTGTCCTGCCTACCCAGCTGATCGGAATTGCAATTGGAGCCCTCCTGGCCCTAGCCTTTGTCAGTATTGCTGTCTTTTTTGTATACAGAAGGGTTAACCGATTCCGTAAGTATCTTGGTTTGTACTGTGGCTCTAGGGGGAGGGACAGGGCTCATATGTGTGTGGGTGTGTGTCCATGTCCTATGGGCATTTGGACTCTAGGGGTGTGGTTTTGTTGGAATCCAGGTTCAGGCTGTGGTTTCCAGTCTTTGCAGAGCCTTTTCTGCCTCCCTTTCCCAAGCAAGGATCTAGTGAGAAGAAATGAGATTCCTCTGTGATCTGAGACAGGCACTGATGTCTGAGGGGTGGCTGGGGGACAGGACAGGCAAGAACACAGTTTATCTTCTAGCACCTGTATTTCCAGCCCCTGGCCAGTGCTGCGCTTTTATTTTAGCTCAGGCAATTTCACCATAAACCCTCTCAGGGCCATGCCCAGGATGGGGGCTTTCCCACTTCACAGTGTCCCTTCCCTCCCCTTGCAGGACAAGTGCACCCCACTCCTCAGTACAGGTTCCGAAAGCGGGACAAAGTGATGTTTTATGGTCGGAAGATCATGAGGAAGGTAATTTGCTCATAGCCCTGGGTGGTACCTTGGCTCTTTCCTGAACAGCACCCTGGGGAGTGGAGACCACTACTCCCCAGGTTCCTTAAGCTTCTGGTTCCTGCACTCTGGGAGTACATTGCTGAGGGGTCCATGACCCTTGCTGCTGGGCACAGGATTTTGGGGGGTGTCATAAGTCATGCTAAATGTTTTCTGCTTTCCCCAACTAAACCAAATACATTTTATTGGAAATATCCCTGGCCTTGTTGACCTCAAACCACCTGGTCTGGAGGGCTGGAGTAGGGTGGGTGTCTGATTTGAAGCAGTTAGCTTGCTTTGACCAGTGCAAGGACAGGAGGCTCTTTGCCCTTGGCCATCTGAAGTGCAAGTTTCTGTCAGCGCGAAGTAAGGAGAGACAGCTGCTTTCCAGGAATATTTCTAGGGGCAAGTCAGGGGGCATAGAGGGCCATGCACCTACCCTCAAATGGGTGGTCTCTACAAGGACTCAGGAGGTTAAGCTGAGCAAAGGTCCAATCCTCTGGGGCTGGGGAGCCAAGTTTCCTGATGGCCTATGGAAAAACACTGAAAAGTGTCTCTTGTGGTTCTGGAACCTTATAAGTACTGAGGGGTGTCTGGGGGACAGGACAGGCAAGAACATAGTTTATCTTCTAGCACCTGTATTTCCAGCACCTGGCCAGTGCTGCACTTTTATTTTAGCTCAGGCATTTTCACCATAAACCCTCTCAGGGCCACGCCCAGGGTGTTCCTCCTGTGTTGGGGTATAGGAGTTAGTAGTTAAGGAGCTCCAATCTGGAGATAAGCAGTCTAGGTTGAACCCTTGTTTGCCTGTACAAATCTGCCACATCTCACACCCTGCCGCAGTTCTGCAAAAGCCAGCAGGTGTGGAGCCACGGAGTTCTGACAGTTTGGCTGCTTGAGGCCATCAAGGGCATCCTGTGGATATGTGGGGCTGTGTGTGTCCCCTGAGTCTGGCATTCCCTTCCCTCAAGGAGCCAAGAGGTTGGGGGGGATTGTTGCAGATAGCCCTGGAAGCTGAGAGCAGTATGGTGGGCCACCCACGGGCAATTCCTGAGGTCTGGCCCCTGAGAGCTCAGGTCTGCCTGTTCACAGGGTGTGTAACACATCTGTTTGTCCTACAGGTTACCACACTCCCCCACACACTTGTGGGGAACACAGCAGCACCCCGGCAGCGGGCCAGGAAGAGAACTAAGGTGCTATCTTTGGCCAAGAGGTACTGGGAACTTCCTCCTAATGGGTACTGCAAGTCTGTTGGAATCCTCACTAGTGCTGTGCTCCTTCCACATCAGAGGAGCACTGAGGGCATTGGTTTTTAATTCTTCTGTTCTTGCTCAAGGTAAATGTGTCTCTGCTTCTTAGAATTCTACGTTTCAAGAAGGAATACCCCACCCTGCAGCCGAAGGAGCCCCCACCTTCGCTGTTGGAGGCTGATCTCACAGAGTTTGATGTGAAAAATTCTCATCTGCCATCAGAAGTTCTGTACATGCTGAAAAATGTTCGGTAAGAGAGTGATGGGCGCAGGAGGACTTGCCATAGCATGGGCATTCCCTCAACATGCTTCTCCCTGCAGCCATCTCTGTCTTGGCTTTGTTGTGTCAGAAGGTATTGGCAAGCCAGACTTCTTTCTGGGACTGCTGGTCTCTGTGCCCTGGAGTGGTCGGTTGTTGGGTCAGGCTGCTCCAGTAGCAAGGCCTCATGGTCCCCTCGCCTCCTCACCTGTTCTTAGTGTCTCCATTTTCAGTGGTAAACCCAGAGTAAGCACAAGAAGCGTGTGGAGGGATCAAAAGCTGCACATCTGAGCATCTGACCCTGAGCATCTTTCCTCTTTCTGGTACCAGCACCCCATCCCAAGAGGGCACCTTGGCCTTTGGTTGTTTTTGTGTCTGTCTCATATTCATGGTCATAGCCCCAGAAGTTCTTTGAGCTGATGGGAGTCTCAGAAGTTTAAAATTCTGTTTGACAGTGATGCCAGATGACCTGGGTCTGCCATACAACATGGGCAGGTTGATCTGGGTCAGCAATAGATCTGCAACCCTAGCTGTCATGCAAGTGGGGACAATGGCCTGTGTCCTCTTGAGCCTCTTTCAAAGCACATCCCTCACCCCGCCTTCCCTGGGTGGGTGTCCACAGTGCATTCTGCTCATTACAGGGTCCTAGGCCACTTTGAGAAGCCACTGTTCCTGGAGCTGTGCAAACACATGGTCTTTGTGCAGCTGCATGAGGGGGAGCACATCTTTCAGCCAGGAGAGCCAGACACCAGCATCTACGTGGTGCAGGATGGGCGGCTGGAAGTCTGCATCCAGGACGCTGTGAGTCCAGGGCCAGGGGCCTGCAGGACAGGGCTGGGACTACTGTGCCTCCACCCAGCTGTTTGTCAGCTCCACATCAGAAAGTTAGTATAAGATTTAAACTGTAGGGCTGGGGCTGTAGCTCAGTGGCAAAGCACTTGCCTAGCATGCATGAGGTGCTGGGTTTGATCCTCAGCACCACGTAAAAATTAACAAAGACATTCTGTTCTTCTACAACTACAAAAAAATTAAAAAAAAAAGATTTAAACTGTAACTCTTTGGGGAGAAGGCACACCTTTCTCCCCACAACCAAACAGCTGCTGTGGACCCTGTGTGTTCTTTCCCATAATGCACTTGTCTCTCAGCTGGTCTTAGCAATGGTTTTGTTTCTGTTAAAATATTGGTATACTTTAAACATTAAAAGTTTTTCTTCCAAGTCCTCAGAACACTTCTATTAATGATTTGATAGATAAATCATTATGTTGATATGTCATGATCACTTGATCCCTTTTCCCATTTAAGGTGTTTTTCACCTAGGAGCTAAATATTTGTGCCTTGCCGGTGCCCAGTCTGTCCTTCAGAGGGCAGTTGCTGGGGCAGGATTGCTGGTTGCACTCTCCCTCTTTTTGTTGTGTTGCTTTCTGAGAGTATGGTATCAGTATTTTTTCCTGGTGCTGTCTGACCTAGGCTTCCCCATCATATGCCGCTGTGTAAAGAATGCTTAGGGAGTCCTAGACCTTATGTAATGGCTGCCCCTGACCTTGCAGAACCTGTAGTCCCATTGGTTCCCACCTGCCCTTGTTCTGAGAGTGGGCAGTGGTCCCAAGATAGTTCCCACACTGTCCTTTCTGGCCAGGATTGTTGATTCTTATAGGTTAGTCAATGGCTGGGCTTGATAGGTTAGATAGAAAGGATGGGCTTGGGTTTTTCCAGTCTCCAGGGGTCAGAGCCAGCAAATCCTAGGGCACCTGGCCACCCAGCTGATAAACAGACTCCTGGTCTGATGTGCTAGGGGCCTCCCAGAAGGACTGGAGCTACCTCTCTATGGCCCTTGACCTGGATGTGAGGGACTCATGAGGGTGACCAGTGCCAGATGTGGACGACTTCAGAAGGGACTTTCCTGGGCCAAGCTGAGATGAGCTTTGTATATTTAATCACTAGGTTGCATTTTTTGTTGTTGTTGTTATTTTGCCTAGTAGAAATTATGTTAGAATTCCATAGTTTTTACTGATAGTAACTAAATTTATTCCTCATAGCCCTTGTAATTAGTCCAGAAAACCAGCTTAGGTTTGTGAAATTTCACGCAAATATGCCCAGTGAGGATAGGTCATGACCTTGAGCTGTGGCTGGGTTCAGTAGAGTTTCTTCATCCATTTCATCCCTCCTCTTTTTTTCCTTGTTTCAACCTTATGAACCCTCTGCTTCCACTGACTCCAGCCAGTCTATGCCTTTCATCTAGATGCCCACTTTGCTTTTTAAAATTTATTTATTTTTATCTGGTGCTGAGGATCAAACCCAGGGCCTCACCTATGCTAGGCAAGCACTCTACTGCTGAGCCACAACCCCAGCCCCTAAGGTGCCCACTTTTTGATGCAACTTGGAGATGGAGGCCAGGCAAGCCTCACTGGTCCTAGCTGGGCCTCTCAATGCCCTAGTGGGTACCCTGTGAACCAAGACTTTCTCTCCTCTTCCTGCACAGGATGGCACTGAGGTGGTAGTCAAAGACGTGTTGGCAGGAGACAGCGTGCACAGCCTCCTCAGCATTCTGGATGTCATCACTGTGAGTGTCTACGTCACAGCCGGTTCCAGGGTCCTTGGGTCTATCATCGAGGCCTCACTCACTCCTCCTGTCCTGCCTGGAAAGCAGGTCGCTCGTGGTTAGAGGCCAGTTCTCCACAATGACATGAGGTAGAGGACTGGTCTAGTATGGGAGGGACCTTCATTCTGACCACATGAACTGGTGGGGTCTCCATGGGAACAGCTTCAGTAGTGTGTTTAAGATAGGCAGGAATTTGATAAAGGATTTTAATTGCCTCTTTTTTTTCCCTAATACCAGGGTTTGCACTCAGGGGCACTCGACCACTGAGCCACATCTCCAGCACTTTTTTGTATTTTATTTATAGAAACAGGGTCATCCTGAGTTCTTAGGGCCTTGCTAAGTTGCTGAGGCTGGCTTTGAACTTGCGATCCTCCTGCCTCAGCCTCCTGAGCCTCTGGGATTATAGGTGTGTGCCACTGTGCCTGGCTTCAGTTGTCTTTTTTTTTTTTTAATCTTTATTTTATTTTTTTTATGTGGTGCTGAGAATTGAACCCAGTGCCCCTCAGGTGCTAGATGAGGGTGCTACCACTTGAGCCACATCCCCAGCCCTCAGTTGTCTTAATTTTAAGAGACTAGTGTTAGACTCTAACACATGCTTGTGCTACAATATTCAAAAGACATAAAAGTTGTAGAGCAAAATGTTTCCTTTTGTCCTCAGGCCCTAGATCCTTCCCAGGAGGGACCTGACACCAGTTTCATACAGATCCTATGTGGCACCTTTCCATTGTCCCATCTCATGCAGCCAACAGAGTTCTGGTCTTCAGTGTATATCACATTGTATTTGAAGGCCAGGCTATAGGAGAAATTCTTAGGGTGAACTCGCTGGGTCTTGGGGAGCACATTTGTAGTACTGAAAGGTGATTGCTGGTCCCCCACAGTTGCAGAGCTTGGTCCTCCCAGATGTGTGCAGCTGCTCATTTTCCCTGCCCTCGCAGCATAGCGAGTAGCCTGAGTTGACATTTCCTAGTCTGACAATTAAGCAAATAGCCAGCCTCTCACTTTTTACTTTCTGTGATGAGCAGTTCCTAATGTGGCATAGAGGCAGCTAGTCAGACCAGCCTCAGCCCACATCTCTGTCTCTCCCTGTTGGCAAGAGTATGATACCCTTTCTGTCTTCTTGTTAAGTCCCTTTGGCAGTGCTGGGATTGAACCCATGCTCGTCAAGTGCTTGACCACTGGTAGAGCCTCTGCTCCTTTCTTCTGCAGTGCAGCAGTTCTTGGGTGTGGCATTTGCAGCTTGGAGCACATTTGTTTCCATTTGACTCTGAAGCTGCACTGCAGCAGCATCCTGGGCATGTTGGACAACTTTGACCTCAGCTCTCTCAACTGTGTTGCCACATCTCTGAAGCAGTGAAACAGAAGCTTGGCAGGGTGTGTTCATGCAGACTGCACAGGAGTTCACAGGCTTCCTAGGGAACCTTGTGGGATGCCTGGGTTAGACTCTCTGATTCAACCCTCAGCTTTGTCCAGGAGGCAGCAGGCTCCAAACAGATGCTGGGGTGTCCCATGTATCCATGTTGCTCTCTGCCAGATTGGCTAAGGCATGCTTTGCACTGTTTAGGGGTCTGGAGGTGTGTCCCCCAGGACTGGTGTGTTTTCACAACACTCTTGGCCTAGGCTGGGGTGGAAAAGGATACCCTTTGTTATTGTAGATGGATAGCATGCCTTTATTTATTTGTTTATTTTAAGTGGTACTAAGGATGCAACCCAGTGCCTCACATGTGCTAGACATGCACTCTGCCACTGAGCTAAGCCCTAGCCCTGGACCAGACTTTGAAAGGCCAGCACTCAGTTTTGAGGGAGCCACCCACCGTGGGTGGGGGTTGGGCCAGAGTGGTATCCAGGTGACCAAGCCCATCTCTGTAGTACCCTAGCTGACTTCATGGGGATTCCTGGATGTGTCAGGGGCACTGGAAGCACCAGGACAGGCTTAGAAGCCTTAGTCGTATGGAGGTACACCAGCTGGCTACTTGGCACCCTTCCCTCTTTGCTGATTTCTTTCTCCCCCCATCCCCAGGGATTAAACCCAGGGGTGCTCTACCACTGAGCCACATCCCAAACCCTTTTTATTTATTTTGAGACGAGATCTCCCTGAGTTGCTTAGGGCCTCTCTAAGTTGCCCAGTCTGGCTAGGAACTGTGATCCTCCAGCTTAGCTTCCTGAGTCACTGGGATTACAGGTGTGGCCATCACACCTGGCTGATTTATTTTTCTTTAAGTAAAAAATAGTTCACTGTAAACTGGGGTGGGCTTTCTCTGTTATTTCCTGTTCTTTCTTATCCAGATCTTTTGGTTTTCTTCCGGTACTGGGATGCCCTTGGCCAGGAAGAGGGTGGCAGGCTATGGCAGATCCCTCCTGTGTCCCCACCTGCTATGGTCCATCCCACCTCTGCTGGTGTCAACATAGCCTGTCTCCCTGGGACTGCAGCACTGGGACAGTGGGAGTAGAAAACAGGGGCTGCACTGGGCATGGCGGTACACACCTGTAATCCCAGCAGCTTGAGAGGCTGAAGCAGGAGGATTGAAAGTTCAAAGCTAGCGTCAGCACTTTAGCAAGGCCCTAAGCAACTCAGCGAGACTCTGTCTGAAAATAAAAAATAAAAAGGGCTGGGGATGTGGCTCAGTAATTAAACACACCCAAGTTCAATCCCTGGTACCAATAAAATAAAATAAAATAGGGGCTGTTATTTGAGATAAAATATACCTACATGGTGAGTAATTGATCATTTAGAGATCAATTAATCTTTACCTATATTGTTGTTGTCTCACCAAACATTTGTATTTGTCATTTTTTAAAAAATTTAAATTCTTACAAAATGACATGTATGAGTTCTTAAGCTGCACTTATGTCTTTTTTTTAATATTTATTTTTTAGGTGTAGATGGACACAACACAATACCTTTATTTTTATGTGGTACTGAGGATTGAACCGGGTCCCACCCATGCTAGGCGAGCACTCTACCACTGAGCCACACTCCCAGCCCCATGCACTTAATGTCTTTTCTACTCCTGGTCTTTCCAACTCTTAGGTTCCTTCTAAGCAACTGCTTCTCTTGTTTAATAATTCTTCCGTCTTAGGTACATTGACTTCCTGTATGGAAAAGGAAGACGGCTTTCTCCTGAGTGCCTAGCATGCTTCACTGTGCCTCCCTCCACTGCCTACATTTCACTCCTGATGCATGACTAAGACTTTATACATCAGATTGACAGCTGAGCCTTGTGGTGTTCTAGGGGTTAAATTTCCTTTCTTGTCAACTTTTGATTTTCCTGAAAATAACAATTGTTTTATTTTTTTGGCCGTTTAGGATGTTTTTGTGTGTGCTCTCATTACAGATGTATAGCCCAACCCGTGCTCCACAAGGAGTGCTTTTCTCTGGGCAAACCTTCCATCTGGGACCCCTGTGCCCTGCTGAGTAGGCTTTATCTCCTCCTTACTGGTCTGCTTTTTTGGTTTGTTGGAGTAGATCCTCTGCTAGTTTTCTGATAAAGGTGCAAGGGAGGTATGTTTTTGAAAACTTTCTTTCTTTGCACCATCTTCGGGTTTTTTTTTGTTTTTTGTTTTGGTGGTGCTAGGGATTGAACCCAGGGCCTTGTGCATGCTAGGCAAGCACGCTACCAACTGAACTACATCCCAGCCCCCTACACTGTGTTTGTATTTTTTTTAATATTTATTTTTTAGTTGTACACAACATCTTTATTTTGTTTATTTATTTTTATGTGGTGCTGAGGATCGAACCCAGGGTCTTGCACATGCTAGGCAAGCGCTCTACCACTGAGCCACAACCCCAGCTCCCCCCCTCCTCCCCTATTTGTATTTTTATTGTACTTCCTAAGAGACTTTCTCAACTTTTTTGTTCGCGGGGTGGGGGGGCACTGTTGCAGATGGAACCCGGGGTCTTATACATACTAGGCAAGCACTCTACCACTGAGCTACACACCCAGCCTTTTTTATTTATTTAAAGACAGGTCTAAGTTTCTCAGGCTGTCCTTGAACTTGTGAGCCTTCTCTCTCAGCCTCCTGAGTTGCTAGAATCAAGCCACAGCCACCATGCCCAGCTTCAGCTTTTCTTTTGTGGCAGGGGACTTAGGCAACTTTATTTTTTAAATCTTCCATTGAATTTTTAATTTCTATCATCATATTTTTTAAATTTTATTTTAAGAGCTCTTGCTTTTTTAAAAACCACATCTTGTTCTTGCTGCCGGGGTGAAGTAGGATGAGCTTTGCTCTTGCTCCCTCAGTTGTCCGGGCCTCGTAGTTTTTCTTTTCTGCATGTTTCAGGTTTCGTGTTTCAGATCAGGGCTTTCCTGTCTCCTGAAATCCATTTATGTGAAAGTGAAGCACAGAAACCCATGAAGGTGCATCTCCAGTGTGATATGGAGCTGGCTCCACCGGATGGAGGGCACACACTGTGCCCCTGCCCCATGGAGGGTGGAGGGCAGAGCCATCCAGCCCTGTCCCTCAAGGCCACGCTGCAGATGCTCCAGCTTCTTGGCCACATGGTTTCTGTGGCAGCCCCTTTTGCGGCTCCTCAGTTGAAGTGGTCATCAGAGTATGCAAGTGAATGAGCATGGCTGTGTGCCAGTAAGCCCACCATAAGATGTGGTGAGGGGTGTGGCCAGTCTGGGTGCTCTGATTGTGTGGTCAAGGTCAGATCCTGGTTTTCTCTGGGGTTGGGTTGGGTGTTGGCTAGGGGAAGGGAGGCACAAGGTGAGCCATGACTGGAAATGCTCTTTACCTCTAGGGGATGGTAGCTACTGAGTTAGTCATAAAAAGAAAGCTAGCTCAAGCCCTTTTAGAGCTAGGTGCAAAATCTGCATGCATATGGTCAACAGGGACCCTGCAGGAGACTGACTGGAAGTGGCAGCTCCTTCTTTCAGGACTTTGGAGTGCAGGGGCCAGTGTCCTTAGAGCTTTTCTTTAAAACACCTTCCCAGAGGGAAGTCGGCCAGCACCTTGCTGTG